CCCTCAGCCAGGGTCAACCCACCACACCCTCGTTAGTAGAAGCCTGCCGAATGGTGTACAGAGGTAATCTCTTTATCATCCTCAATATTGGATATCTTTGCTAAAATTCATGATTAGTCTCAGTTGCATGTTTTTATGAATATGGGCACCTGCACTGTAAGAACTTGATTAAGAAAGATGCTGGATACACCGTTGATTCTGAGTATCATATAAGCTTTCCAGTAGTCACAACAGGAGCAATGACATTCAGCCACTGTCTACCTGGTTTGCATTTAAAGCAGTGAAGTGAGAAATCCAGTTAGCAGTCAAGAACAAAAATCAGAAACCTTTTTCCAAAATATTAATAGTTACTGCAGTGACCTTCCTCCTTGTCTGCATTCACGTATTTGCATTACTAAAAAGACAGCTAGGATCGTAAATTGAAATCACTTTGGCTAAGACTGGCAGTAGTCTTTGGACATTATATAGCAATCCTTTCAAATGCATTATTACGTAAATTAATCACAAACTCTTCAAGGTTATGAGACCCAGCTTCTCATCCTGCCTCCTCCAAATAACAGGAGAGAGATGAAAGCAAAGCCCTGGTGGGAGAACCACCTTTATTCAACACTTTGCAGTCCTTGCTGTGCTGAGAAGTGGGTGTTGTGAAGGTCAGTCAGCAGCCTAGAACAGAACCGTGACCACAACTCTTTAGCCAGCTAGGGAGGATTCCAGCCTCTCCTGCCCCTGAGGAGTTTGCCTGACAGCTATACAAGTTACTCACACTACGCACTGGAAGAAATATTCCAGCCTTTAAGTTTTGTGCACCATTTACAATAAGTGAAACACATTTAGTATATTACTATAGGCAACAGACACATTGTTTATAAATCATGGACATACTGTGACATACAAGAGACGATAAAGCTAGTATGATCTATTACTACAGAAAAAACTCTGCAGATACAAGAGAAACACTAAGCTTGGGTAAGCATCATGGCTGCGAAGAGTGGTACCTGGTACTCATTACCTTTTGAGAAGCTCACCACCTGTAAGACTGTAAAAAACAGTTAAACCTAGGAAGAGACTAAGAACTCAGAAGCGAAAGCTATTGAACTTAACTACAAACCAAAAGCTGTACTTTTGAAAAACTCAGACAAAACCCACAGAATATCTGTGTAAAGTTACTTTCATATCTGTGCTACTTTCATACCTGTTCTAAGAATGGATATAGCCATCAGAAATACTCATGCTTGGCAACAGTCATGAAGCTCAAAGCAACAGCCTTTTGTAGTACATATGTATAGCAAAAAAAAACCCCAAACCAAACCAAAGCCCTGTAGGACTAACAAAAAACCTTGTTGACTGGTGACTGTAATATACTGATTGCAGATAATAAATAGTGGTGAAGAAATACTTGGTTGTGAACTAGCAAATAATGAATCAGGGTCCCAAGGAATAAGTTTTTATCTGGTTTGCTAGCTACAACTCTGTTGTTAGTTGACAAACACGCTCATTTTCCTGAGCAGGAAGGCAAAGTGAGGCTTTAGGACATTGCTAATCAAGACCTAAGCAGGTGCTATGAAACACAAGCTTACATTGGTACTTCCTCCTGTTATTCCTGCAAGGACAATACATTAACTGTAGCATGTCTTATTTTGGCAACAGCAGATAACTTATAACAAATACCTGGACTTGATTATAAATGCCACATTTCTAGAAAATTACTTAAATTACACGATAAAATGGCAAAAGCAGAATGTGCTACCACCTGGTTCTTATTTTTTATGTTTAGTACAAAAAGCAAAATGAGAATTTCTCCTCCTGACCATCCCACCAAACACTTGAGTAAGAAAGGGGCTTGAGATATAGCTAATTAAGAGAACCACACAGTCAAAGAAGACTGAATGATTTTCTAAACAGAAACATGAATGAAGAGAATCTGAAGTAACTGAAGGTATTAATTAAAATGATTTATTTAAATATCATTAAACTGTTCAGTAGAAGTTGATATTCAGAACTAAAGCAGCCTTAATTTGTTTTATCTTAATTTACTTCGCAAGCACATTGTGGCCACTTCAATCCTGAATACACATATCTGTAATCTTAATCTGATTTTAATAATCTACTTTAACAATTAATTCAGATATATTCTATTAGGTATTCATGTCTCCTGAGTAAATGGAAAAAGGAATGGTAAACTGATGAATGCATTTTAGCTGAAGAACCACTTGTTACTATTATTACAGAACAGTCGCAAAAAAGCACTTTTAAAAAAAATCAGGTGAGATCACTGCACAGTGTATGCATTTTCTATATTTACAAGAATCCAGCAATAGTTATGGGTCTGAAGTATCCTCTGTCAAGGTGCCCTGATTTTAACACTGCAGTATTGTTGTATCACCTGAGAGGCAAACACTGAGATGCCTATCATTACCTATACTAATATTATACCTATAATATCATACCTATAACATTATGAATGGGAATTTGAGAAAAATGAGATTAAGTGATCCATCCACAGCTAAGTGACAGATAGTGACTTAATTAGGGACAGAATGTAGATTCGCTCCTGTTTCTAACTTTTACTAAGAGGCTTCAGACTTGCCCTAGCAATGCATGAACTGCCTTACAAAATGAAATTACCCCACAGACTCCAGACTTTCATTACCAACATTCTGTCTTGCGCACAGATAAATTGGCTATTTAGTCAGTAGTTACTTCTGAAGAGGGAGGAGAAACAGAGAAATAAAATACCATTACACCATTAGAGACATCACTGCAGTGTGGCCATATTTACCTCTGCTTTTAAAGCTGCGACACTAAGTGAATTAATTTCCCTCCAGTGCAAGATCGATTATTTCAGAAAGGTACCCAACATGGCAGGGGACAGTGGATTTTATTTGTATCTGTAAGAGATACAGACCACATGACAAAGAAGATCTGTCCACATGTCATCACTTAGTCTTAGGAACTCCAGTCACAGGCCAGGATCATACTGTGTTAAGATTTGGTAGAGATACAAAACCATCCCAGTGCACCTGATTCTGATCCTCCACTTCAGCACAGAAAGACTGCAAGGTTTTTATCCAAATTGAAGAGACCACTGGAAAGGCAACATCGTTAAAATGTGTTTGTCTTTGCAGAAAGGTGCAGATATTCAAAAAGAACAAGTCAAAGGCCTCTGAATTGTGAGCACTAAGGAGATAAAAAGTCAAGATTACAGCTGGGATTTCGGATTTGATGGAAATTTAAAAGAAACAAAGCATACTAATTTTACTCTAGTTCTGCACAATATCAGGTAATACACTTTCTGGTGTGAAATACTTTGTTGAAAGTTGTGAACTAAATTTAGTCTCTCATCCCATTGTACGTATCAGCTGGTAAGTTAGCAAAGAGGACAATTAGGCAGAGAGTAAGTGACCTGCCCGTAGCTATTCAGTTACACTGAAAAGTAAGAGTATTTGAGGCATGCTTACTTGGGGAGAAGAAGAGACTTTATTGCTGCAATTTCATAAGGCACAGTTGCTCTCCACAGGCATTTATCTTTTGTAATTCCTTCACTGGAAAAGCTATTTGTTAATAGCAGCTAAAAGTATACCTTAATGAAGGGAATAAGTGACTGATAAAATACTTATAAAAAATGATTAGTATTTTGGAGATTAAAAAAAATCCCTGAAATAACTTAGGGTATTTGAGTAAGAGTCTGAAGAGGTGTTCCTCTGAAGTCATGTAAGCCACAAGGAAACTGTACCAAATGCAAAAGGAGAGTAAATTCCTCTTTTGTCTCACATGTTGACACCTGCAAGTCAGGAGTGGCTTCACACCACAGAACTGAAATTCAAATCAAAGCAGTTGCTAAGATCTCCACTGCTGAAATCCAATCATAGCAGGAACTTACTCACTTCACACACCAGAAAAAAAAATAGTCTCCATGAGAGTTTTTCTTCTATTTCAAGGCAAACATTTGGAGTGAGGTAAGAATTCGCAGTCTCAACTTTCAATGCAATTTTCAAATCAAGCTGTTACAAAGATGGGTCAGTGTTGCCTCGTCCTCTTGAGAAAAATCTCATGCATATAGTCCCAAAATCTTCCCTGATGCGACTCATTGCGATGAATCATAGCAGTGAGGGCCTCACCCTGATCAAGGCTTTGCCAATAATCCTGCAGCCACATCTCTTTCCAACTGAAACAAAAAGAGAGACCACCATAAACCATTAAAAAACCAAATGAATCTGCAGCTGTAATAGCACTGAAACCATTTTTTTTTTTCACCTAAGAGGAAAACAGGCCCAGAGACGGTCATGAAAAAGTACGCTGTTACTTTGCCATTGTGCTCCAAGTCATTTAAAGAAATTTGCTATGAAAATTCCCTACAGAAAATATAAGATCACTATTAGCTTTACAACATTCTAGAAGCATCAGCATGTGATTGTAGTGTTAACCAAAGAGACTAAATTATTAATTGTAGAGAATAAAAACTTCTATTAAAATAAAATCTGGCACGAGTTCTTATCTGATTTTGAGAGTAGCCTTCCATGGCCAGTATGCAAGTAACAGCCTAAGAATCTTTTTTTTTTCTCTTCAGATAAACCATTTAACAATTACAGAATGACAGCTACTCATTACAAACTCAGGTTATACATGGCAAAGAGAAAAAAATCATTATGTACCTCAACCCTGACTCTATTCTTTATCTCCAGACTACAGGGTCGAGTATACACTTTCTCTTTTTCAATGTATACATTCTCAAACTTTTCATAGCACAGACTATATCACTGCTATTTTCAGCAATTCCCTTCCCATTCATGACCATGTGGACTGCTTCTCTCATTTGTGCTATATCAAGGTATGGCAATAATTTATTTACGTTGTCTCCATTATATATGCTACCCAGCCACATAAGCCCATCACAAATTTTGCAAAAAAGGACCAAACATGACGCTCCTTTTAATCTGTTCATATGGAGTTACTCAATACTTGTTAACTTACATACACAGCTTTTTGCTTCTTCTCCATCCCAATCACAGAAATAAGTACAGTGCCTTCCATGTTCACTCTTATACACCATATACTAAAGCAAGCATGGCTGCACTGCTCAGAAGCAGATCTCACCCACTACTCCAGGAAGACCAAAAGAAACACACATCATGTCACAGTCGCTTTCTTTGTAGAGCAGCATCCAACTTGTATGCCATGGGAATTAGTTTTCTGTGGTCAACAGCATCATCTATGGTGGGACATTTCTGCAGCATATACCAACAGAGACTGCAAAACAAACCTTTTCACATACATTACAATGTGAAGGATCATAGACAGACGCTTACTTTTGCATTAAAAAAAAAGTCTGCCGAAAGGTTCCTTTGTAAAATGTAGCACTTGGACATACTGTGAGATCACTTTGCTTACAACGTAAATTCATTAACCTTCGTTTAAGGACAGCCAACATGAGTTACTTGTTTTTTACAGCACTGAATAAGGGCACACATTAAGAAAATGAGTATACTTGCATTAAGTACTAGACACAAGACTAAGTAGCAATAGGTAACAGAAAAAAGAAAGTGTTTTCCAGCTGAACTCTATGGGAACAACACTGAAGAATCCACGACTTTAGTCAAAAACACTAAATAAGACCACTTTGGTATTTTTCTTTTTACATTGCTGTTACTGGTTTTCAAGAAAATAATTTCACTCTGATTCTGTAACTTGGAAAAAATCAGTACCCCAGGATGAACAGAACTGTACAAATATCCAGAAACTACCAACTACATACACCTGAAACGTATCCTGACTGATTATTGGATTCTACTGCAAGAGACACCTTACAGTCTACATGTGGCAAATCTGATACAATTTTAAGCTGGTCTTCATCTTGCACATATAAACTGTGACATCGACATAAAAAGGAACCAGCAAAACCACGGTTTCAAAATACTCCTTTATTAAAGGCACACTGGCTTCTCTCTTCTCATGCTACCACAGATGAAAACTGTTTAGGTAACTGGAAAGGTATTATCACATAGTCTTCTTACAGTTATCCTCTCAAACGCTCCGCTTTTGGAAAATGAATCCTTATCAATGAAACAAACCAAAAAGGTGAGAGTCCAAGAATAATTGGAGATTCCAGTTCCTACTAAACAGATATTCTAATCATCAGTAGCACTGTAACTCACTATTTTCTGTACAAAGCAGTCAAGAATTCAATAGATTGTAGTGACTGACCCATAACCTAACACATACAAATGGTTGTTCTACAGCCTTTCTTCTCAAGCTCACTTGGGTGTGAAGCTCAGAAGTTCAAATACAAATGAGGCTGCAAGCATAAGGATTTAGGAACTATGGCTTCACACTTAGAGCTAAAGGACAGCAAGGTGAAGATACAATAACGTGCTCCAACTACAGGTACCTACACAGAGAGAGATTCTGATGCAACAGTTCTGTCAATTCAGCATATTCATCAACCTTAAAAAATTATATCTGGGAATAAGGGTTACATAGCATGCAGATCCACAGGGTAACCATACTGTAATTGAGCACTTGCTCTAAAAATATATAAACTCTGATTGCTTTTGTTGTTCTCTGAGTTCCAGAAGCCTCCAGAACCCAAAATCACCATGTTTATAGTCAGACCTTGTTTGTTGCATATATTCTATCATTTGTAACCCCACTAGGTCTGCACTGTTTTTCCACTAGAATGTTTTCTAAAGTAACAAAATACACTCATCTACATTGATCGTACTGTTGACATAATATTACTGTCAAACTCTGACAAAATGTGAGCATGTTTAGCTAATACTTTAGTGGCAATTTTATGTTACTGTCACATCATTTACAATTCTAAGTAATCATGTTCCATGTTGGAGATAAAAACGGTGAAAGCTCAGATGCTTATGAGATAGAAACCACTGTATTTCACCGGACATCCCCTTGATCATGCCTCGGAAGGTATAGATACGTAACTTCCTAAAGTAGATAGCAGACAATGTAAAAGCTTCCCTGGTATAATTTTTCCAGACACGTCTCATGTCTATACAGGGGAAGAATAACACACTACGGTTCAATTAGACATGAAAACTTCTGTGGGTGCAACTGTAGCTGGGATTATGGACTAACTGTTCAAAACTCCTTGCTGATGACCACTGCACAGAATGATGGAGTACCTCGGCTTGCAAGTAAGTGGCATAGGCACCCATGCTGCACCTTTGAAGGTATTTCTCTACTGCCATCTGCTGCTCAAGCAAAAGAAAATCTATGAGAAAGTAGAGAACATAGAGTAGGATGCTGCAGAGCGTGCTACAAGGAAAAGCACATTTTGCTACTGAGACTGAGAAAAGAGATTACTACAAAAAAGCTCCAATAAATCAATCAACCAACAGAAAACAAAGGATTATGGTCCCCTTTTACTTACAAGCATAACTTTTCAATTAGTCAATTTGAGAATTACTTGTACTGTGAAAAATGCTTTTTAATGACAACATGCAAGTTTTGTGAAATAGGCATTTCCTAAGGAACCTGAATGACCTCAGGCTTATTTTCCTTTTTTAATTTCACTTAGTTATTTTTTAAAGCATCGAAACATAGGAAGAAGTAGTTCCCCACAGTTACAAAATTCCTCATGCTTTTTTGTGGATGGATAACCTAACTCTTTTAGAGCTTCATACCCACATGGAATTTAGTTCTGAGTTACAGTACTTGAAACGATGGATTCTGCATTTTCAATGCACTGTTTCTTCTAACATTTTAACACTCGTAAGTGTTCAATTCCTTAGTCGAGGAAACTATTAACAAAGCTGTGAACTGATATAAACTGGGAGAGAGTATATTGACAACTTCCTCCTGGACAGTGCATGAGATCTTCCCAGTATTTTCAAAAATTCATTAATTTGATACTACAGTGGAACTGACATCAGAAGATTGAAATCTTCGTGACAAGACAGCTATGAACACAGGCAAGATCTGCTATGGCTGAGGGTTCATCTTTACAATGGCTGTCCAATGGCTTATAGAAAGTGAATTGCATGCATTTAAGTAATTGCCTAAAAAGTACAAAAATTGTTGCAGGTAACACAAAGCAAAATTGCAAACCTGGGGGATCCAAACATGTTGCACTAGTAATACACACTATAAAAAGTGCACACATAGTTTATGAACTCTAAGAACTGCAACTTCAAACACCGTCAATGGCAAAACTCAAGGTTTGGGAACCCAAGCACTGACTTGTTTTGTACCAACGCATGTATAAATGCTAAGGACTAAGGAGGCTATGCAAACAAAACTCTATTCTGCCTGTCCAAAGTTGTTGCCTGAGGGTTGGTGTCGTTAGTTCCCTGCTGACAGACTTAGGGCAGCTTGCACAAGAGATGGCTAGCTATAGGCCTGGGAGTTTCCACCAACACTAGCAATCCCTGTGCAAAAAGGGGGCAAGAAACTACTCAACCTATTCTCTGCCCTGCATTGTCCCTCTCCTAAATAAACAGGATAGCATCCTTCAATACAAGACAGAATTTTGTCACACAAAACAAAAAAATTCTTGTAAAGTATTCTGGGTGAGCCTGACATCTGCTCTGAAATCAACAGGAGTTAACCAGACCTGCACTGAACAGTGGCAACCCCATTCTTAACGCAGTACTTTGTCAGGAGGTATAGAGCTTCCTTCACCCAAGGGCTACCAAGTGCTTTAGAATCATGGAATCATACAATCATTTAGGTTGGAAAAGACCTTTAAAGATCATCAAGTCCAACCATTATCGTCGCTGTACTGAAAAACATCCCTCCTACAAACAAACAAAGAAACAAACAAAAAACCCCATAGGCTAAGATAAGCAAAGGATAACCACATTGCCCAAGGTCGCAGAGCATTTTAACAGAATATTATGGGTGTCTCATGTTCCTCATTCAACCACTAACCAATACCACCCTCCAAGTCTCTTTTTCAGCCGCAGTGTTACACAATATTGCAGAACTACAATACCACCCACAAGACATCATGTAAAGTGTAACTCCAGATGAGGCTTTGGGCAATCTTGTCTGGTGGAGGGTGTCCCTGCCCATGGCAGGGTGGCTGGAACTAGATGATCTTTGAAGTCCCTTCCAACCCAAACCATTCTATGATTAGAGAGATCCTTCAAGTACAAAGCATTATTAAAAGTTACAGCTACTATTATTTGAAGCTTTTTTTCCTTCAAAAAGCATGGTATTGGTACATTACCTGTCTCCTCCAGAGAGGTCTTCAACACTTCCATACCCAGGGGTTGGCATGGGACATCCCATGTGCTTGAACTGAGCTATGCGAGGTCTGGGACCTGGAATTTTCCCATGAGACTTTTTGTGTTCCTGCTCCTTTTTGACCCGGGTGTTCTCCCTGTCACAGATGAAACACTCGAAGCCATTCAGGTAATTGGGCAGAGTCATGTCGTTCACACCCCACTCCCGCCTCTCCAAGCTCTCTAGCAAGAACTGGTTTTTGATTCCACCAAGGTTTTTATACTCTAGATACTTCATATATTCCGCTCCATTCTTGTCCAGGAAATCAAGATACTTTGCCAGCTCTTGGGGACTCTCAAAGTCATCTATAAGAATGATGGAGAGGTTGTTTGGCATCCAGTCTCGCACAGCTGGGGAGCCTCGGTAAACTGGGACAGCACCCAAATGCATTGGACGCCACAGCTTCTCTGTCATGTAGTCATCACATATGGCATTCTCCAAGGCCAGGTGAAACTTGTACCTGGCGATAAAAGTCATAAATTCAGAATCTTCTGTAGTGGCTGTAGAAGTGTCTCTCAGTCGCTCACTGGGAAGGTCACGGTTATGCAGGCATTTCCCATAGGAGTCAACCTAAAATAACAACCAGCATTTTTACAAAGTGATTTTTTTTGCCCGGAGCTGTTTTCAGAGCTTGTAGTTCTTGCAGCATTCCTAACTTAGATCAGTTCCTAGCTACCTTAGTTTAGCTTCACTTGGACTCCAAGTTCCTTCCCTTGTGACTATTCCTAGACTCCCAGTTCTAACAGCTATAGAGGAAACCAAATGCTCAGTTTCAAAAGCAGCATAAACTACGCTACAGATTGGGGTGTGGAGCGGGAGAGTGCGGAGAAAGGAAGATGCCACCCAAAAATGTATTTATTAGCAGATAAATCAGAAACTGAGAGATAAGGAAGGGCATTCAACTCTATGTTATTTTAAAAGCCATCTTTCTACTTAACAGAGACCCAGTACTTTTCCAAACAGTTATTACACGGTTCCTGCCAGTCTCAGCAGGCTTGCAAAAATTTTCCATCTGTTAGACAGAAAAATTGATGCAAGGAGCTAAAAGAATACCATCTAAAATGAAAGACAACACACTTGATCTGGAATTTGCTTCGCACTTTGACAATACACATACTTAAAAAATTAATCTGTTTTTGCTTCGCTATTGAGTACGTGATGAACTTGCACAACAAACGAATCACTACCAATAAAAATAGCAGAAATTACCAGGAAAGAGATGTTTCAGATAAAGACTAAAAGCATGCTTTTTTTTTTTACTAATTACTATCCTTCAGCATTTTTAAGGGAAAAAAAGCATTAAACTTTTGTCTGCTTGAAAGAAACGACATTATTTCAGCTTATGAAGCTACTCTCCATCAGCTGTACCGCAGCAATACAAACAGCCATAGAAATAACATGGTCCTACCACAACGCAGATAAGGAGCGGATTCTCAAAACACAGCAACCTATCTTTTTATCGCATACTTATACTTTCAAATGGGAGCAAGGCTTGTAAATGGGCAGCCTTTCTGTATGCTAACTTAAAGGTCCAGAGATTTCAGCAACTTCTAGTACTTGGTCCACAAGACCAAGCTAATTTGAGCTTAGCCCAACTTGTGATTGATCCCGAGTCAGGCCAACTCCACAACTAACAGCTACCATCAGGCCTACCTACTGACATGCGGTGTAGTCTAGACCACGCTTTGGGAAGGAATACAACTAGTTTTTCTGTCCAGCTTGTAGTCGGCATGCATCCCGTTACGATTCATGTCTGGGCTAAAAACAAGGACAAACAAACCCCATTAAAAAGAGGTGGAGGGGGGCTGCCAGGCAGGCCCAGCAACAGCACGCCGCAGCTTCCCTGCGCACCCCACCTACCTGGATGTATTTCATGAGCTCCCGCACGTAGCGGTCCCTGTCCGAGGGGACATCGCAGTGGGACTGCATGTACAGCACCGGGGCATAGCCCTTCCGCCGCCACGCGTCCTTCTCGGCCAGGGGCACTGCCGGGCCCCGCATTTTTCCCCCACGCCGGGCAGCCACTGCAGCGTGAGGGGATAGTCGGACTCCCGGCGGAAGGTGGCCGTGTAGTTGAAGAGCTGGATGCCGGGCGGGTGGGAGAGCACGTAGTTGTTCATGGGGGACTCCTCGTGGAAGAGCGCCCAGGTCTGGTGGGACAGGCGGGGCAGCGGCGCCTCGTAGGCCCTGAAGTCGGTGCCGTAGAAGATGAGGGCCTTGGTGCGGCG